TGCAGCTGCTGGCGCTCACGTGGTATGACGCTGCAACTCGTGGCGCTGATTCGGCGCAGGTTTACGCCTGCGAGCTCGGCGCTCTGGCCTCTGGCTGGTAGCGTTTCCGTTCCTACAAACCCAGCATCACATTCAACTTAGACACATCATGGTGCTGAGCATTCGGCAGTGAACGCGCTTGCGTCTTAAACAGCGCAGCCGGATGAATGCGAAGGAGGAGATGACATGGGGAGAGGGGGAGCATGCGGGAAGCACAAGGGGAAGCATGTACGTTCACGTTGGCACGCTGGAGTTCCAGAGCATGCAAAGGAGCACACAGCCCGATGCCGTGCCGCAATCAAGTTTTGAGGTCCAAGGCCCCCGCCGTGCAAGGCCTTGGATTCCCAGATCTGCAGTGGAGGGTCTCTGCTGCCCGTCAACCCGCTCAGAGTCTAAAGACTCCGATGCGCCAATTCGTCTCCTCGCCCTTCACTCGGCGTGTAGCCAGGGGTTCAGTTTACTTCTTTCCACCAAACACAGTCTGAAAGCACGGCCCCCCATTGGGGGATATTCGTAGGCTTTTGATTATGCAGCTAGGCAGGATTTCCGTGGCTTCTTGCCAGAGCAAGTGCGTGGTACCTTGAAGACGGTGGTAATAGCGACGCCAAGCCTTGTACAGGACTCTTTCAGAGCAAACACGATGTGGGGAACTTCTCTCTCTTCCCACCCTCGACTTTATACTCTATGTGTGTATATATGTGTATGTAGATTTATATATACATTCGCCTACTCTTCGCATCCTCGCTAGGACCATTTCAGTACTTTGGGAAAACGCTTTTGCTGGCGGGTGTCACAATATTATCCAGGAGAAGCAGGCGCAGCTATGCGAGTTTCGCAGGAGAGCGATCCCCTCCCAGCGTGCCGGGATCTTTGTGCATAGCTTTTCGGATGCAGCTGCTGGCGTTCACGTGGTATGACATTGCAACTATTGGCACTGATTCGGCGCAGGTTTACGCCCGCCTGCGAGCTCTGGCCTCTGGCTGGTAGCGTTTCCGTTCCTACAAACCCAGCGTCACATTCAACTTAGACACAGTATGGTGCTGAGCATTCGGCAGTGAACGCGCTTGCGTCTTAAAAAGCGCAGCCGGATGAATGCGAAGGAGGAGATGACGTGGGGAGAGGGGGAGCATGCGGGAAGCACAAGGGGAAGCATGTACGTTCACTTTGGCACGCTGGAGTTCCAGAGCATGCAACGGAGCACACAGCCCGATGCCGTGCCCCAAGCAAGTTTTGAGGTCCAAGGCCCCCGCCGTGCAAGGCCTTGGATTCCCAGATCTGCAGTGGAGGGTCTCTGCTGCCCGTCAACCCGCTCAGAGTCTAAAGACTCCGATGCGCCAATTCGTCTCCTCGCCCTTCACTCGGCGTGCAGCCGCCAGGGATTCAGTTTACCTCTTTCCACACAAACAATCCGACAGCACGGTTCAGCACTGTCGGAGGTTGGGGGGTGAGATCGCAGTGGAACGGAGACCCCCAACCAGGAAATCGTTTCGTTTCGTTCGTGTCGTGCGTGCGGGCAAGGCGAAGCTGCGTGAGCGCGCGAGAGGACTGAACCCGCCGCTGCTAGGGCGAAGTCAAGACAAATGATTCTCCCCCGCCCGCCCGTCCGGCGGTGGCTCGCGGTGTCCCGCGGTGTTCCGTGGTGTCCCGTGGTCTCCGCCGCTGCTAGGGCGAAGTCAAGACAAATGATTCTCCCCCGCCCGCCCGTCCGTCCGTCCGTCCGTCCGTCTGGCGGTGGCCCGCGGTGTCCCGCGGTGTCCCGTGGTGTCCCGTGGTGTCCCGTTGAGTGAGATCGATCGTGAGATCGATCGTGAGATTGATAGTGAGATCGATACTGAGATCGCTAGTGAGATCGATGTGGTGCCCCGAGGTGTCCCGTGGTGTCCCAAAAAGTGAGATCGATAGTGAGATCGATAGTGAGATCGACAGGTGTCCCGTTGTGTCCCGTGGTGTCCCGTTGAGTGAGATCGATGGTGAGATCGATAGTGAGATCAATACTGAGATCGATGTTGTGCCCCGAGGTGTCCCGTGGTGTCCCGTGGTGTCCCAAAAAGTGAGATCGATAGTGAGATCGATAGTGAGATCGACAGGTGTCCCGTGATGTCCCGTGGTGTCCCGTCGAGTGAGATCGATAGTGAGATCGGTAGTGAGATCGATGTGGTGCCCCGAGGTGTCCCGCGGTGTCCCGTGGTGTCCTATGGTGTCTTGTTGAGTGGGATCGATAGTGAGACCGATAGTGGGATCGAGAGGTGTCCCGCGGTGTCCCGTGGTGTCCCGTGGTGGCCCGTGGTGTCCCGTGGTGGCCCGTTGAGTGAGATCGATAGTGAGGTCGACAGTGAGATCGATAAGTTTCCCGTGGTGTCCCATGGTGTCCTGTTGAGTGAGATCGATAGTAAGATTGATTGAGTCAGATGTTGGTTCCCCCCCTCTTCCCCCCTTGCAACCTCCTTATCACCCGAAGGGTGGTTGTATAGGTTTCGGCAGGCTATTGTTTCTGCAGCTGGTCAGGATGTCCGTGGCTCCTTGCCACAGCAAATGCGTGGTACCTTGGAGACGTGGTTGGTATATGATAGCGACGCCGGGCCTTGTACATGACCCCTTCAGAGCAGGACAGGAGGAGGAGGTAGAGGAGGAGGAGGAGGAGGACAAGAGGAGAAGAGGAGAAGGGAGGAAGAGGACCAGTGCAATTCCAAGACGCATTGACCATGTTGGAATACACCCTCCCTCCAAGCTCCCTCTTCATGGGCCCCTACAAGGGTCCAACCCCACTGAGGGAAGTGCGCGGTTGGGGGACAACCGTGTGAACATCTTGACGCGTGCCAGAACACCATTCTCAGGATTGACACGCCACGAGTCAACCTGACTGTTGCGTCTTGACGATCATGAGCCATGCAGGAACACCATTCCTGGGACTTCGTTACCGCGAATCAACGTAACTGCTGCGCCATGACAGTCCTGAATCGCTCCAGAGCGCCACTTCTGGAATGTTAACCATGGGGGCCAACGAAGGTTGGCACGAATGTGCGCGGCGCTGAGGCGTGAACCGCAGTTTGAACACGAGCCGCCCTCGATCCGTGAAGCTCCTGCAAAGTAGAAAAACGAATATGCGCGGCGCTAATGCGGGAGCCACGTGTTGAAAACGACTTGTCCTCAGTCCGTGGAACGTTTGGTTTGACACGAATGTGCGCAGCGCTAAGGCGAGAGTCACACTTTGAAAACGACCTGTCCTCAATCCGTGAAGCTCTGGCAAATGCTTCAAGCGGATGTGTGCGGCGCTACGGCGAGTGCCACAAACGACCTGGAGGAGAGGAGGAGGAGGAGGAGGAGGAGGAGCAGGGTGAGCAGGAGCAGGAGGACGATCGGGGATCGAGGATCGAGGTGGAAGAGGAGAAGGATCGAGAAGGAGGAGGAGAAGGATCCAGGGGAGGATCGAGGAAGAGGAGGAGGAGGATCGAGGATCGAGCTGTTGGGACGTGTTCGGCATCTTGGGCCCGCGGGCTGGGGCGCCCTCGTCGCCGCGGCTGGCTCCGACTTGACATTCGGCGTGGCCCCCTCGCGCCCCAGGGCAGGTCTGGAGGGAGGGAGGGGGACGGGAGTGGGCACCTGTGCGGGAGAGGGAACCGCAGCAGGAGAAGGGCCCTCCTCCTCCTCCTCCTCCTCCTCCTCCTCCTCCTCCTCCTCCTCCTCCTCCTCCTCCTCCTCCTCCCCCTCCCCCTCGCCCTCTCCGTCGGGGGGGGGGGGGACGAATGAGGAGGAGGGTACGGAACGAATGGGTACGAAGACCGGCCGCAGTTCCTGCACAGTTTGAGCAGGGCTCGATGTCGGCGTCGCTGCGGACGCTGTCCATGTATGACAGAAGGCTGCCTGCCCAACAGCGGCCGCTGTCGGTTTGGGGGAACTTCAGTTGTTTGGCATCGTACCTTTTTTTCTCACGTACCCATGAATCTCGGGCGTCCAAGTGGAGCAAGACGAGGTTTTGTCGGGGATTCCCGGAGTTGTTGTTTGGCCCGTGGCGTTATCTTTCAGTAGCGCTTCGTCGAGAGACCGTTGTAAGAGAAGCAAGGAAGGAAAATAATGATACATGCCAAGTTCTCCAATGCTTTCAAGTCTTCCAGATGTTCCTCGGGGACTAGAAACGAGGATCGCCAGATACTCCGGAGTTCTCGGGGCGCAACCTGAGCCAACCGCATCCTGACATCATGATCTTCCGAGTTTCTGGGGCCCACACATACGCACCACCACCTCCACGGGTCTGTCTTCTGCAATAGAGGTTAGGTTGATTGGGCTGCTTGTGTAGCATTAGGTCGGAGAACGCTGTGCATCTCGCTCTGTCAGCGCACCGATGTCACAGTATCATGCAGGCGCGTTTGTGCATGCGCAAGAAGCAACACGTTCACATGGTATATACTTCGGACTGGTTGATACAATTCTCGGTGGTCGGGTGTGTTCTCACACCGCCCGAGGTGTTCATAGACAGGCCGGCCGTACGCATTCTCAACCGAATGTTGCCAGACATGCTTGCCTGCTCGGCGCAGGTTGAACGACATGCCTGCTCGGCGCAGGCTGACAACGGCGGCCTCTGTCGGCGCGTTGGTGCGCACGCACTGTTCCTTGTCTGTTACGGTCGGACCGAGGTGTTCGATCGAGATCGTTTCCAGGAGGGTACCCTGGTGTTCTTCGAGCTTCTTGGATGTTGGTGTGCCCCCTGGGGCGGGTACCCTTTGGTGTTCTGCTTGTTTTGGCCGGCGGAGGGTCTCACGTTCTTAAAGGATGTCTTCTGGCCCAGATCCGACTGTGCCGCCCAGAAAAGCGGTGCAGCTGCGGGCCCCGCAGCTTCTGGGGAGCCACGAGCCCTCTGGAGAGCGGCCGCCCGAGGCCCCCGAAGCTGTGGCCCGCGAGAGCCAGTTCAGAGGGGAGGAGTGGGAGGCGGAGGAGGATCATCGTAACCATTCTGGCTCGAGCCGTTTTGGGTCAAGCCGCCGTTCTCGCTCGAGAAGTGCTTCGGCGGCCCTCGTCCACAGGTTCCCCCCCCCCGCGCTCGCCGCGATGTGCAGGCTGGGCGCCGCGGCGACCCCCGGCGCGAGGCGCCCCGCCCGCGTAGGCGAGCGGCCCGCCGGCCCCGACGGACCAAGGCAGGGCGGCGCCCAGTCCCGGCAGTGGGCGAAGAGGGCCGCATTCCCCAAGATCAATCAGACCATCATCGCAGCCGCAGAGCATGATCTGCCCACCACGGTCGCGGTCGTCGAGCCCCTGATCCCGCAGATGAACTTGGTCAACATTTCCACGGCGCTGCACAGGCTGGCCCGGCTGTCCAGCAGCAGCCCGGAGTCATTGCACCAGCTCCGCGGGCACCCCGTGATGCCTGCGCTGCTGGCCGCGGCGGCCACGGCTCTGGACAGGGCGCGGGAGACCGGGGCACAGCCGAAGACCCAGGCCTTGAGCAATGTCACCTGGGCCATGGCGACAATGCAGACCCTTGACCTCCACCTGCTGACCAAGGTGGTCGCACTGTCCGAGGAGGTGATGCCCCTCTTCAAGGCCTTCGAGCTCTCTGGCCTGCTGTGGGGACTCGCGACGCTGGGACGCAGCGAGCCTGAGGTGCTGAGATTGGCGTCGCCGATCTTCGACCGCGCTGCGGGCCAGGTGTCGGGGGACTTCAGCTTCAGGTGCCTGGTGATGACGTCCTGGGCCTACGCCACGGCGGGCTGGGCAGACGCAGGCCTCTTCCAGCGCCTCGGTGACCTGATGCTGCCGGGCCTGCGGTCGGCCAGCGGGGCTGAGCTACAGAGCATCTCGTGGGCCTTCGAGGCCATTGGCGCGTACCACGGCGCGGTGCTGACCGAGGTGCGGTGGAGGCTCGGCGGTGGCGGCGTGGGCAGCGGCGCCACCGCGCCGCATACCGCCCTGCGGCGGGCCGCCTGGGCTCGCGGGGGCCCCGCCGATCAAGGAATTGCGCCCGCGAGGTCCCCAGCCCTCCGCCGCCTTGAGGTGGTGGAGGACCCCTTCGCGTGCCCCGAGGACGCCGCCGCGACAGCGCAGCTCCGCTCGTGCGCCGAGGCCGCCGCGGCCGTGGCGGCGCCGGAGCCCGCGGCGGGCGGCCGTGTCCAGCAGGCTGCTGGGCAGGGCTGGGTGTGCACAGTCAAGAACACCTTCGTCGAAGTCAGCGACGGCAGTGCCTCCGGCGACGAGTCGGAGGATGAGGCGCCGCTGGGGCCGTCGCTGGCCATCATCCCGCAGGGCATCATCGACCCCGACGAGCTCACGGCCTACCGCATGTCCTATCAGAAGTTCCGCTCGGGGAAATGCCGCGGCGCCAAGGGGGAGGTGTCACGCCTGGGGGCGGGGGCCTGAGAATGCGGCCGCCGCTGGCCCCGCTCGCTCGGGGCCTGGCGTCGGAATGGAGCAGGAGGCTCCCGCGCAGTGGTCGAGGAGACCAGGGACGTTGACTCCTTACGCATCTCGGCCTGGCTGAGCGGCATGGGCCACCGCCTGCTTCAAGGCGATGCGCGATGCAGATGCCCTTGCTTGTGGACTTCACAATCTTATACATCACACCCGAGAGAACCGCCAATCAGTGGATTCTGCCTGCCATTTGCGCATGCACTCCACTCGCCTAGTCTTCCAATCTCCTCTAGGACCCCCTCAGTGCAAGCACTGATTGGGGAAATTGCTTTTGCTGGTGGGTGTCACAATCTTATACAGGAGAAGCAGCCGCAGCTATGCGAGTTTCGCAGGAGGGCGATCCCCTCCCAGCGTGCCCGGATCTTTGTGCATAGCTTTTCGGATGCAGTTGCTGGCGCTCACGTGGTATGACGCTGCAACTCGTGGCGCTGATTCGGCGCAGGTTTACGCCTGCGAGCTCGGCGCTCTGGCCTCTGGCTGGTAGCGCGTCCGTTCCTACAAACCCAGCATCACATTCAACTTAGACACATCATGGTGCTGAGCATTCTGCAGTGAACGCGCTTGCCTCTTAAACAGCGCAGCCGGATGAATGCGAAGGAGGAGATGACATGGGGAGAGGGGGAGCATGCGGGAAGCACAAGGGGAAGCATGTACGTTCACTTTGGCACGCTGGAGTTCCAGAGCATGCAAAGGAGCACACAGCCCGATGCCGTGCCCCAATCAAGTTTTGAGGTCCAAGGCCCCCGCCGTGCAAGGCCTTGGATTCCCAGGTCTGCAGTGGAGGGTCTCTGCTGCCCGTCAACCCGCTCAGAGTCTAAAGACTCCGATGCGCCAATTCGTCTCCTCGCCCTTCACTCGGCGTGTAGCCAGGGGTTCAGTTTACTTCTTTCCACCAAACACAGTCTGAAAGCACGGCCCCCCATTGGGGGATATTCGTAGGCTTTTGATTATGCAGCTAGGCCGGATTTCCGTGTCTCCTTGCCAGAGCAAGTGCGTGGTACCTTGAAGACGTGGTGATAGCGACGCCAAGCCTTGTACAGGACCCTTTCCGAGCAACCACGATTTGGGGAACTTCTCTCTCTTCCCACCCTCGATGTTATATTCTATATGTGTAAATATGTGTATGTATATTGATACATACATTCGCCTACTCTTCGCATCCTCGCTAGGACCATTTCAGTAATTGGGGAAGACGCTTTTGCTGGCGGGTGTCACAATATTATCCAGGAGAAGCAGGCGCAGCTATGCGAGTTCCGCAGGAAGGCGATACCCTCCCACGTGCCCGGATCTTTGTGCATAGCTTCTCGGATGCAGCTGCTGGCGTTCACGTGGTATGACACTGCAACTATTGGCACTGATTCGGCGCAGGTTTACGCCCGCCTGCGAGCTCGGCGCTCTGGCTGGTAGCGCGTCCGTTCCTACAAACCCGGCATCACATTCAACTTAGACACATCATGGTGCTGAGCATTCGGCAGTGAACGCGCTTGCCTCTTAAGCAGCGCAGCCAGATGAATGCGAAGGAGGAGATTACATGGGGAGAGGAGGAGCATGCGGGAAGCACAAGGGGAAGCATGTACGTTCACTTTGGCACGCTGGAGTTCCAGAGCATGCAAAGGAGCACACAGCCCGATGCCGTGCCCCCAGCAAGTTTTGAGGTCCAAGGCCCCCGCCGTGCAAGGCCTCGGCTTCCCAGATCTGCAGTGGAAGGTCTCTGCGGCCCGTCAACCCGCTCAGAGTCTAAAGACTCCGATGCGCCAATTCGTCTCTTCGCCCTTCACTCGGCGTGTAGCCGCTAGGGGGTCAGTTTACCTCTGTCCACAAGAAACAATCCGAAAGCACGGTTCAGCACTATCGGAGGTTGGGGGGTGAGATCGCAGTGGAACGGAGACCCCCAACCGGGAAATCGTTTCGTTTCGTTTGTGTCGTGCGTGAGGGCGAGGCGAAGCTGCGTGAGCGCGCGAGAGGACTGAACCCGCCGCTGCTAGGGCGAAATCAAGACAAATGATTCTCCCCCGCCCGCCCGTCCGGCGGTGGCTCGCGGTGTCCCGCGGTGTTCCGTGGTGTCCCGTGGTCTCCGCCGCTGCTAGGGCGAAGTCAAGACAAATGATTCTCCCCCGCCCGCCCGTCCGTCCGTCCGTCCGTCCGTCTGGCGGTGTCCCGCGGTGTCCCGCGGTGTCCCGCGGTGTCCTGTGGTGTCCCGTGGTGTCCCGTTGAGTGAGATCGATCGTGAGATCGATCGTGAGATTGATAGTGAGATCGATACTGAGATCGATAATGAGATCGATAGTGAGATCGATGTGGTGCCCCGAGGTGTCCCGTGGTGTCCCAAAAAGTGAGATCGCTAGTGAGATCGATAGTGAGATCGACAGGTGTCCCGTGGTGTCCCGCGGTGTCCCGTCGAGTGAGATCGATAGTGAGATCGATAGTGAGATCGATGTGGTGCCCCGAGGTGTCCCGCGGTGTCCCGTGGTGTCCTATGGTGTCCTGTTGAGTGGGATCGATAGTGAGACCGATAGTGGGATCGAGAGGTGTCCCGCGGTGTCCCGTGGTGTCCCGTGGTGGCCCGTGGTGTCCCGTGGTGGCCCGTTGAGTGAGATCGATAGTGAGGTCGACAGTGAGATCGATAAGTTTCCCGTGGTGTCCTATGGTGTCCAGTTGAGTGAGATCGATAGTAAGATTGATTGAGTCAGATGTTGGTTCCCCCCTCTCCCCCCCTTGCAACCTCCTTATCACCCGAAGGGTGGTCGTATAGGTTTTGGCAGGCTATTGTTTCTGCAGCTGGTCAGGATGTCCGTGGCTCCTTGCCACAGCAAATGCGTGGTACCTCGGAGACGTGGTTGGTATGTGATAGCGACGCCGGGCCTTGTACATGACCCCTTCAGGGCAGGACAGGAGGAGAAGGTAGAGGAGGAGGAGGAGGAGGAGGAGGACAAGAGGAGAAGAGGAGAAGGGAGGAAGAGGACCAGCGCAATTCCAAGACGCATTAACCATGTTGGAATACACCCTCCCTCCAAGCTCCCTCTTCACAGGCCCCTACAAGGGTCCAACTCCACTGAGGAAAGTGCGCGGTTGGGGGACAACCGTGTGAACATCTTGACGCGTGCCAGAACACCATTCTCACGATTGACACGCCACGAGTCAATCTGACTGTTGCGTCTTGACGATCATAAGCCATGCTGGAACACCAGTCCTGGGACTTCGATACCGCGAATCAACGCAATTGCTGCGCCATGACAGTCCTGAATCGCTCCAGAGCGCCATTTCTGGAATGTTAACCATGGGAGCCAACGAAGGCTGGCACCAATGTGCGCGGCGCTGAGGCGGGAACCGCAGTTTGAACACGAGCCGCCCTCGATGCGTGAAGCTCCTGCAAATTGGAAAAACGAATATGCGCGGCGCTAAGGCGGGAGCCACATGTTGAAAACGACTTGTCCTCAATCCGTGGAACGTTTGGTTTGACACGAATGTGCGCGGCGCTAAGGCGAGAGTCACACTTTGAAAACGACCTGTCCTCAATCCGTGAAGCTCTGGCAAATGCTTCAAGCGGATGTGTGCGGCGCTACGGCGAGTGCCACAAACGACTCGTAGGAGGAGGAGGAGGAGGAGGAGGAGGAGGAGGAGGAGGAGGAGGAGCAGGGGGAGCAGGAGCAGGAGGACGATCGGGGATCGAGGATCGAGGTGGAAGAGGAGAAGGATCGAGAAGGAGGAGGAGAAGGATCCAGGGGAGGATCGAGGAAGAGGAGGAGGAGGATCGAGGATCGAGCTGTTGGGACGTGTTCGGTATGTTGGGCCCACAGGCTGGGGCGCCCTCGTCGCCGCGGCTGGCTCCGACTTGGAATTCTGCGTGGCCCCTTCGCGCTCCAGGGCAGGTCTGGAGGGAACCGCAGCAGGAGAAGGGCCCTCAGATCTGGAGTCATAAAGCAGTCGCGACCTTTTCTCCCATTCGGTGCGATCGAAACGGGTACGGAACGAATGGGTACGAAGACCGGCCGCAGTTCGTGCACAGTTTGAGCAGGGCTCGATGTCGGCGTCGTTGCGGACGTTGTCCATTTATGACAGAAGGCTGCCTGCCCAACAGCGGCCGCTGTCGGTTTTGCTGAACCTTTGTTGTTTGGCTTTGTACCCGTTTTTTCCGTACCCATGAATTTCGGGCGTTCAAGTGGAGCAAGGCGAGGTTTTGTCGGGGATTCCCGGAGTTGTTGTTTGGCCCGTGGCGTTATCTTTCAGTAGCGTTTCGTCGGGAGACCGTTGTAAGAGAAGCAAGGAAGGATAATAATGATACATGCCAAGCTCTCCAATGCTTTCAAGTCTTCCAGATGTTCCTCGGGGACTAGAAACGAGGATCGCCAGATACTCCGGAGTTCTCGGGGCGCAACCTGAGCCAACCGCATCCTGACATCATGATCTTCCGAGTTTCTGGGGCCCACACATACGCACCACCACCTCCACGGGTCTGTCTTCTGCAATAGAGGTTAGGTTGATTGGGCTGCTTGTGTAGCATTAGGTCGGAGAACGCTGTGCATCTCGCTCTGTCAGCGCACCGATGTCACAGTATCATGCAGGCGCGTTTGTGCATGCGCAAGAAGCAACACGCTCACATGGTATATACTTCGGACTGGTTGATACAATTCTCGGTGGTCGGGTGCTTTCTCACACCGCCCAAGGTGGTCCTAGACAGGTCGGCCGTACGCATTCTCAACCGAATGTGGCCAGACATGCCTGCCTGCTCGGCGCAGGTTGAACGACATGCCTGCTCGGCGCAGGCTGACAACGGCGGCCTCTGTCGGCGCGTCGGTGCGCATGCTCTGTTCCTTGTCTGTTACGGTCGGACCGAGGTAGTCGATCGAGATCGTTTCCAGGAGGGTACCCTGGTGTTCTTCGAGCTTCTTGGATGTTGTTGTGCCCCCTGGGGCGGGTACCTCTGGGTGTTCTGCTTGTTTTGGCCGGCGGAGGGTCCCACGTTCTTTAAGGATGTCCTTCTGGTGTGCCGCCGAGAAAAGCGGTGCAGCTGCGGGCCCCGCAGCTTCTGGGGAGCCACGAGCCCTCTGGAGAGCGGCCGCCCGAGGCCCCCGAAGCTGTGGCCCGCGAGAGCCAGTTCAGAGGGGAGGAGTGGGAGGCGGAGGAGGATCACCGTTACCATTCTGGCTCGAGCCGCTTTGGGTCAAGCCGCCGTTCTCGCTCGAGAAGTGCTTCGGCGGCCCTCGTCCACAGGTTCCCCCTCCCACCCGCGCTCGCCGCAATGTGCAGGCTGGGCGCCGCGGCGACCCCCGGCGCGAGGCGCCCCGCCCGCGTAGGCGAGCGGCCCGCCGGCCCCGACGGACCAAGGCAGGGCGGCGCCCAGTCCCGGCAGTGGGCGAAGAGGGCCGCATTCCCCAAGATCAATCAGACCATCATCGCAGCCGCAGAGCATGATCTGCACACCACGGTCGCGGTCGTCGAGCCCCTGATCCCGCAGATGAACTTGGTCAACATTTCCACGGCGCTGCACAGGCTGGCCCGGCTGTCCAGCAGCAGCCCGGAGTCATTGCACCAGCTCCGCGGGCACCCCGTGATGCCTGCGCTGCTGGCCGC